ATATATATTGTATATATATAGGTATATATACACATGGTGTCCTGTCACTACCGCATTATCTCTTAAGAACGTGTTCTTGAGACGAAATTTGGAGACGAAAATTCTACGATATACCTGAGCGCGCGAAATGTCAGCTCTGTGATTCGAGAACTTTAACCGCTACTAATTTAAAAACTATTATAGCTTCAACATTTTCATATTAGAATTTTCGTCTCCAAATTATCTCAAGAACACGTTCTTAAAAGATAATGCGGTAGTGACGGGACACCCCGATACGTATATCTTTTATTTCTTCGTACTATTAATGACGTATTTCTGTAAATGGAGTTGACTTTTCCTTAGCAAAAATTTCCGCATTATCGCTCTATTTTAATTATAGTAATATAAACAATTAATATTACCATATGTCAGTTTCTCAATCATTATAAATCACCTTTCAAATCGCCGATCATAAATCTTCTTTCCTCCCGACTAGTCCCGATCGTCAATTCGCTTCTGAGCGATTCAATTAATTTGTGCTCTTTAGCATGATCTTCTCGCTATTTTAACAAAAAGAAAAAGACTAATTCTAAAGCGAGAAACTGTTAACAATAAATAAAATCTTTTAAGGAGCTCAAAAATTTTTGTACATACATACATTATTGCTATAGATTACAGAGAATATATATATATATATATATATATATATATATCCTCTTTTATATTCGTTAAAAAGTTTCAAAATATCTTACAATTAGATTAATAAATAATTAAAGATGTCACATGTTGTCAAAATTATAACAAAGAATGATTAAACATAATTAAAAAATCTTTATTTAATGCAAAATAAAGCCATCTTTTTTTCAAATAAGCAAGTCAACTCTAATCCTAATCGCAAGATTAGAGTGATTTCATTAAATTTCAATTGTCATTTCTCAATCATCAAGTTTCTCAAATTACAGAAATCAGTCGATATTCGAGGGTGTAGTGGGAATCGCCGGAAGTAAACGCAAATAGATTCTATAAGCAAAACTAGTTACGTGTGAATTCAACGACATACTTGCAATCACAATGCACATAATTTAGTGAGGTTGTACTAGTAACAGTCCGAAGGTACATTCAAAACGGATCAATTTCAATTTCTGAAAGCCCGTACATATACGAGGTGTCCTATTTTATTCACCTCAAATATATCACCTCAAATATCTCTTGAACAGTGCATTTTAGGGAAAAATGTTTCAGACAAAAGTTTTGGGGGACTTCGGGATTTCGAGGGGACATAAGATGATAACATAAATTTGACCCTGAGTGGCGTTGTCAAGGTCACTTTGAATTTTTTTAATGGAACCCCCATTTTTCATTACATATTCTTGTAGCACACCTCGAGAGCTTTCCGAAACACATAAATAAAATGTTCTTTGGGTAAATAAATCTTGAATTATAAAGCTTGAAAGTTACAGTACCACCGGCATTAGCATTATTTATTTAAAGTGCCCAAACAATGACTGAAACCTTTTGAATGTTGTTCAGGATCATGAGCTTTACAACATGTGTCAAGGCCATAATCATTGGAGATTGTTTCTCTTATTTTCATTTTTGAAAATTATTTTTATTTTTTGAAAAAAAAAGAGAAACATCTTCCAATAATCATGATCTTGACACATGTTGTCAAGCTCATAATTCTGAACAACATTCAAAAGGTTTTAGCTAGTGTTCGGACACCTTGGATGATGCTAATGCCGACGGTACTCCAACTTTCAAGCTTCATAATTCAAAATTTATTTCATAAAAAAATATTTTATCTATGTGTTTTGGAAAACTCTCGAGGTGCGCTACAAGAATATGTAATGAAAAATAAGGGTTTCCATTTAAAAAATTCAAAGTGACCTTGTCCTGACCTTGACAATGCCACTCAGAGTCAAACCAATGTTATCATCTTATGTCCCCCACGAAGTCCCAAAACTTTTGTCTGAAACATTTTTCTCTAAAATACACTGTTCAAGAGATATTTGAAGTGATCGATTAAAATGGGACACCCTGTATAGTGGAGCAAAAGTGACATAATTTCGCGGAAAGTGAGGCTAATGTAAAAAGAGCGTTTTCCAAAACAATATTCAAAACTTAAACAAATTTTTAGAAAATGTATAATACTTTGTTTTGGGATATTTTAGTAACAAAATATCAAATATTATTTTCCATTTTTACCACTATTATATGTATGTGTATACATGTATCTGCGTGCAGAAGTATTCGGAAATACATTTTCTTCTATTGCATTCAACTCAACCAAGTGAAAACTTCAACTAGCTCTACAAAATTATATATCATATACGCTACACAAAAATATTAAAAATAATACGTAAATTCTGCATAAATAAACGGCCATATACGCGCGATACTTTTAGATTATCACTTACGGGACTTTCGAAACAGAACAATTGAAAAAAATCGCACGGCACGGGCTTAACAAGATCCACGACTACTTCCGGTGGTTCGCGCGTTGCACCCTTTAAAGATTCGTGATTGATGATGGCTCACCGTTGCTTCGACCGTGGTCGGCCGTGGTTTCGTTCATCGAGTTCAGCGAGCACAGGTGTGGAAGAGGACGGCGGTGAGTTTTATAGGTGGTGTGATGGTGTGATAATGTTGCGTGGCTAGCGCATCGCACACAGACGATCGTGATCGGTTCTCGTGATCGTCGTGATTCAAACGGTCTCCGATACCGGGAGCGGTGGCTGCCCACCGGAAGTAGTCATGGCGGGCGCGGTGTTGGCGGTGTTGGTGGGGGCCGAAAGTGGCTGTAGGGCCTGCATGTCGCAGATGTGGGAATCGCGCTTCTTTAGGTCCTGGAACAAGCGGCATTTCGAATATGTTTGAATTTATCCTTCTGTCGTCCTCTCTTCTCATTTATTCTTCATTCTTCTCACATCCCATCTCTCTGTCTCTCTCTCTCTCTCTCTCTCTCTCTCTCTCTCTCTCTCTCTCTCTCTCTCTCGCTCTCATTCCTTTTTAATTTTCTCGTTCACACTTGCATTTTCGCTACTTTTACTCTACCTTTCACTCAATTGTTCTCTAGCTTTTAATCTCTAGATTCAGACTAAGCAATTATACATTATGTCTACTCTTTCCCTCTCTTCTCTCTTGTTCTCGCTCCCTTTTCTCCTCGTCCTCCTCGGGAAAGAAAAATGATCATCGATGCCACGATCAAGTTGGGATGTTAATCATATATGAATTTACATTGTGATTTCAAGGATTTTGATGATCTAAGAATAGAAATGAATCGTCGCGGATTGATGGACTTCGAACGATTCTCGAGGGTAAGAATCGCGTGTGAATCTTCCGAGGACGAGGGGAATTCGGGAAAAATTTCAGATGACTCCCGAGAAGAGACAGAAGAGCGAAGAGAGATTGAGAGACAAGGGCTGGGGGAACAAGATGAAAAAAGAATTACGCGTGCAGAGAGAAACATGCGACGATATACGATGCGACAGATATACGAGCGGAAACAATCGAGAGGAAACCAGGGTGCGAAGCAAACAATGGCAACACAGTTAAGGAGGTTAATAACAACAACAACAACAAAACAACAATAATAAGAACAGTACATTCCATTAAACGTAGAACATGGAAGTAGAAGGAAGCAAATAGTGCACGGAGTCAAGACATTTCGCTGATACCAAAATGGTATGTTTGTTCGGTACATAACAATATATGTACGTTTATTGCTTAAATTAACTTAAACACGCAGTTTAAGCCAACTGTAAGCGGAATTACTTTTGAGCTTGAAAATAACGTAGACATCTCCATTTATAGATTATAATATTTATGTAAATAAATAGGCTAACCTGACTGTCTTAAAAAAAAAATTGCAAATGTACCATTACAATAATTATAACAGTTATAAGAAACGTGTATGAATGTATTATATATCTTACGTTAAAGTCGTAGTTGAAGGTTAAACCATTAAAATTGTAAGATTGCATTTCTGTTTCTGCAATGCAAACTAGCCTTTAATCGTGGTAAAAATCTTAACGTTTTCGATCCAATTTTAAATTTAATACTTAAGGAATACGTGCGAGAGGTAAAAAGACTTAAGACAAATAAGTCTTAATATAAAAATGAAACATGCGATAAATTTCTGAAATGCAATCATAACTTATGAGTAATAATTATCAATTATCATGCCCGCTTTCCAAATTATTAAATATATATTAAAACTATATTAATAAATCACAATTAATAAAAAATTTTCTTAATTTTATATTAATAAACTGGAATATAAGATTATTGTAATTTTTCTTTGAGCTTATTTTGTGCAAGAATAATCAGGACAAAACTGTTGTATCTTTCCAGAAATTGAGACGCCTGTAAGATCGGCTTTGCGAGATAGAAGTATAATAATATAGAGCGGAAAATCGAAATCGCTTTTGACAGCCGCATGCGAAGTGCGTTAAATACATCTTACAAGCGCAGATCATAAATTGAACAATTCCTGATGTAATCGCAGCGTAACAATTACAAGCAATCGTCATACTTTACGTAGTTTCTAAGCCGAGTTTATAGCTCGTCCTGGCAGCATGACCCTCTCGAACGTTAATCGTACGCAGAACTTTACCGCAGTAATCACACAGTTAATGTGTTGCGCTTTAACACCAGCGTGACTTACTATGCTACGTCTTTCGTGATTAATAACAGCAGATCAGTCTTATCACAGACGTTTAATTATGCCATTAGTAATAAGGCAGTGTAGTGGTAATTGCAAATCGATTTCATAATTGCTAGCATAAATGCGCCGAGATAACGATCGACTAAAGGAAGATAAAGCGGAATATAATTAATTACCGCGCAATTCATTCTTATTTGTCTTATTTTGTTCGTTAGAATCTCCAGAAACTTTTACAAGGTTAATTGAAATTTTTTTAGAGAATTTTACGTATATCGATGCGTGTGATTTCAGACGTTATACCGACAAAGTTACGAGAACTAGAAACTTAAACTAGCGCCTGTAAAATTTTCCAGATAATATGAGAGTAAGTCTCTGATAGGAGAAATAAATTGTTGAAAATGTAATAAATGTCAAAGCAGTTTAAAAATAATTGTAGCAGTCAATTTTTAAAGCTGCGATCGCAGATTTTTCTTTTAAAAAGCGACTTTCTTAATTAATTTCTATATATTAAAATGAATAATTAAATATTTATATCTTATAAATAATGTTTATCTTCCTGTCTTATTTTAAATTTGTGTTAAGATAACACGTATATGCAAGTTGTGTGACGTATCTATTGAATTAAGCTATATGACGTAGACATACACGAGTGACGCTCCGGCTCTATATTTGACCTTACATTTCTAATGTAATCTATATATTACATCGTTGCTAATAGTGAGAAACTCAAATAGAGGATTGAAATCCTCAACGTATATCTATCGTCATATCTTATTTAGATCCGTATGCCAATTTCATATATGTACTTTCTTAGAGTCGCGAGCTAAAAATGTTTAAGAACACTGTACACGACACGTGCCACGTGAAGATCTATACATATGTGATATAGATATGCAATGAGTATTTTTGTATATCCTTTGAATATTGAAATACCCCTTCCCATTCCCATCCTGGATTTTCGTTACCACCGCCGTTATTTACTATTGTTCAAAAATATGTTTAAGACGAACCTAAAGTTAAATAACAAGACTGTTGACATTGTTTTTTCACTTAAAAAGTGGATAATTATATGATATCCGTAGTTCCAGAACACTTCATAAACACTGTTGGATATTTCATTGCCCGTGATGCAATTAGCACATCGAATAGCGTTGAATATATACGTTACGCTACAATATACGCTAAAATATTTCAAGATAATTATTCATTTATAACTACAAAAATTCGGCATTACTCCACTTGCCCACCGATGGCTAGATCCGCAAGAACTGCAATGCAGTAAATTCTAAGCGAGTTTAAGGCGCGTAGGTCGACCTCCGCGCGACACGTTGTCGCTGCATGAGCGCAAACATTAATCCCTCGCAATTGCACGACGGAAAAGCGTTCGGTCCAATAATGCCTTTACTTCACAAGTCCTAATAATTTCCACTATACAGCGAGACTCCACGTTACGCCGCAGTGCATGCAGTTACATGCACTAAATCGCGACGTGTCCCGAGGTCGCGCGGACGTATCGAATCGCTTGTGCAGTAGCGTGTTCGAGAATAGTCCAAACATCCTGAATCAGAAGCGATAATTCTAGAGAGGCGTTAAATTCTCCAGAGAAATAAGGAATAGAGCTAGTAAGTGATAATATTCGCAGATAATTGTGAACATAATAGTAGCAATATGAATAATCTTTTCCAATTTTCAAACTTTTTTTTTAAATCTACTATAGTGAAGTAACGCCTTCTTTTTTCAATGTTTAAAAACTTAATATCTTAACCGTATTATGCAAAAATATAAAATTTTTGCCAATGTGCTATAATAACAAAAAGGATTTATTTTATATATGTACATATATTATATATATTATAAATTTATTTTTATTCATTTTTACTCATAGCTTATAGCTAAAAACCAATATTCCTCTTAGAAGTTCAAATGACGATCTTATAAGTACTTGACATTAATTGACAAAATTTCTAAATAATTATAATTTAATCTCATTATTATAATTTAATTTCATCGATTAAAAACAATGTTATCAAAATTAATTAATTTCAACTATAATAATTTGACTAATAAATTATGTAATATAGCAATAGTAAATTAAATTAAATTATGTTTTAATTAAATAACTTTATTCTAAGTTATCATATAATCTTTTACCCTTCTTTTATAGTTGGACGATAACAAGATTACAGCAAAATCCTATGTGGGGCAAAAAAAATGTCAAATTAAACACGAAATAAATCGTTATTTCCATTTGAAAAGAAAACGAGATTATCGGAATTTAAATAAAAATGAAATTTACGACAAAGCTATTTGCATCTTTCATTTCTCTCACGGCATATAAACGTCCACAGATATTCGAGGCACATTCTTCTAATAATACCTGATGAATTTATTAAAGCAGCAAAACGCAGAGAACAGCTTGCATAGAAGTGCCCCCATTATGAATCTTTGGTACGACGCAATACTGACTCTGAAATCATTTCTACATAAAATCGCGATAAAACGCATAAGCGCCTCACATGCGGAAAGAGATCAAATAAGAATATTGAGACGACGTCTCCCCAACTTCATGCGCAAAAGCAGAGAGACGTGAAAAATATAGAAACGAAGTGCCTTGAATTTTAACGCTCGAAAACGCAACCACACACATATATATATAAATATATATGAGTGTCCTACAAAGTTCCACTACATTTAATAGGTATTCTTTATTTCGCATGCTTTATTAATAATTAGGCCAGTAAATAATTGAAGCATCAATAATTAATGTCTCAACAAAATTAAAGAAGAGAAGTTTCGTAATCAAAATTCCGTCTCTGAAAAAAAGTATTGACAATTTCACGCATATACATATAAAATTATGCACACTGTGCAATCAAGCTAACTGCTCGCGATATGAGCATAATCTCCGATGCCGGTACAATATAATCCACCGGAAACAAATTTATTGCAAATGCAGAAAGCGCGATCGATGAACGTAATACAAGCGTACTAAATGGAAAACTCGCGTTATTACTAAATGAACTGTTTAATAGCCAATGCTCTTTCTGCAAAGAGTGCTAAAATTAGCATTATATTATTAATCAGAAGTTTGCAAGGGGATTAGAAGAGCTTGTACTAAGATATTCATATATGTATAACTTTAAATTCTCTTCAAGGTCGACAGCAAAATTCTCTGTTTTATATGTATATATGTCGTATATTCCATTAATAGTAACACAATAAAATATACGTATGCATAATAAGCGTAATAAAAATATCATTAATTCTTTTAATTTACTACAGTTTTATGTATAATCTCGGCTAGATTTATTTTATTAACAATGTTTTTGTAGTAACAAGACGAGGTATGTGATTTAATATTTGCCGGAAAGAGAGAATCGTAAAAGAAACGAATTGAAAGATTTAATCAAGCTGATAAAGCTCCGTAGGATAAGCATTGAAAATTTAAGCAAAACTTTACGTCACGCCTTTAAACGCATTCAATTTAGACGACAGCCCCGTAAAGACTGTTTTTACGGTTAAATTTATTCGCTGTATTGACGCGGCGGGTTTATGCGAAATTTAGTAGACATTTACGAGGATTCGGTTAACGTACCGCGGCTGCGAACGAGCGATAGTAGATCTAACTGAAATAAATGCGCAGCCTTTGCCTTTGATAGTCATTTTCGTAACATCTAATTACATTTCGTATGTGGGAAACATCTCTGTCACTACAAATAAGATAGTCTAGATAATCTGCTTAATCCTCGTTTCGCTCGCTACGTGTTAATTCGCATCTATTTAACCATCAGTTTATTTATTTATTTACTTATTAGATTGTACGAAATAATTTTATTATCATGTATAATACAGATTAGATATAAATACCTCTTCTCTCAATTTATACGCGGGCTAAAGAAAATTTAAAGAAGTGAAATAAAAACTTAGAAATTTTATCTCAATTAATTTTAACCATAAAAAATATAAAACTTAATATGCCATTTTCAAATTATTTTTTACGTACAATATTTAGCGTCGCCGCGCTAGTACATCGCTTGATTACTATAACATCTTCAAAATGACATCCTTCAAACAATTACCTCTTAAGTGAATGCATTTTTGCATGCTCCCTGTGAAGTCCCTCATAACTTCTTGCAACATTTGCTTTGATGCTTGCAATTTCTTTACAAATATTTGTTTCAGGTTCAGCAATTCTTCGAAATTGCACTCAAAAGGTGATCATTTAAAGGATGTCATTTTCAAGATGTAATGATTATCAAGCGAAACTACGGTAGTGTTACGACATCAAGTATATAAAAAGAATAAGGTAATTTGTAAATTATGTTCTAATTTTGATGTCATTAAAAATAATTGATTAAAGTTTCTGAACTTTTATTTTATCCCTTTAAATTTTCCCTCTTCTTTGACCCACCCTGTACATGTAAATCTAAATAAATATATTGAGAAATTAATTAATAAATTATTAAAAATTAATAAACACTTAAATAAAGAATACAAAGTTTAGAAACTATGATAAATATAAAATACATAAATAAAAATTATAAAAGTAATATAAAAAATAATATAATACAATAGTGATATAAAAAATAAATAATATAGAAACAAAATCTCTTTTAATAACTTGAAGTATATTTGCAATTTTAATTATTAATTTGGAGAGAATGAATTTATTTAATCCATTTTACAGTAAAGCAAACGAATTATAAATCAACCGATACCCCGATTCAAATTGCAAATGTTTCAATAACAATTCGCTTGTTGTTACTCGCAAAGTATAAATTTATCCTTAAAATACCGAACCGGAGACAAAATAGAAATACGACAAGCAGATAAACTTGCCATGCGTATGCAAATGCTGCAACAACAATTTTATATTACTCGTTTAGGAAACATTAAAAAAAAAATTTTTGTGTCGCACGTGTGAAATGTGTTGCAGAAAGCAGTAATGTAAAAGAAAAAAAAGTGAACGTTCGACAAAACCGAAGGTATTTTTCAGACCGTAAAATCTCGAAAGAAACACGAGCAACTTCTATTTCAATCGCCGACGCCTTTAAATCGCCTCGAAAGAAAGTGATAAAACTACAAAAAAAGGAAGGAAAAACGAGAGAAACTAACGGCCTATTTCGCGGCAGTTGTATATGTGTTTTTCTTTATATACCACTCTTTATACCTTAACTTCCCGCTCCCTTTGAATTTTCTGCTTGTCACATTTTCGTTTAGTTAAAAAAAAATATGAAGGAAGCGCGAGAGAGAGCCAAAAAGATGCAACTAAATTTAAATTTACTTATCTAAAAAAATATCAATTTCTTGAAGCTAGAACTATTCACATTATTTTGCAATTTATAGCAAATTGAAAACACATCATATTATATAAATAGATTGTTTCAGATTTTGCGCAACTCTTTTCATTTTTTCGATCAATTTTGAGGAATTTAATCTTTTTTTAATAAAACTGTCAAAAAAATATTATAGTTATCATAATTTAAGCTTAAAGAAAAAAAAGGATAATAAAATTTTGTTTTTTATCTAATTTCAAAAAAATTTTGTATTAATAAAGTTTTAATTGAGCAAAATCGATTTGAATTTATCAAAAAACTTGTCATAAAAGCGATTTATTAACGATGGTGGAAGATGCCCGTCTCACTATTTTAAAATCACAAAATAATTAATTAAATAAAAGTTGTCCTAGTTTTCAGAAAATTGACATATGCTTTCAAGAAGTTACACATCCAAGAAGTAACGTTTTCTAAAGTTTTAAATGTTTGAAAAATAGTTTAGAAGAATATGACAGGATTTTTACGCCGCCAACGTATTCCTTCTTTTTTCGTTGAAAAAGTATAAACGGGAAAATCTAATCCAAGCAGATAAATTTTACAAAAAGAATGAGAAGACCGACGGTTGAAAGGGATAGCGGAAAATATTCCGAGAGCGATCTCAAAAAGGACAGCGCAATTTTTCCTTCACGACCCTTCGCGCGCTCGAGCAACTCCGGCATGTTTTGTCCTCGAAGTTTAAACAAAAGGAGAAGGGTGTTGTAGGTCGCGCAGGGCACGAAACCGCAGAGATTGCATGGTGATGAGGTGTTATGCTGTAAAGAAAAAAAAGTGCAAAGTCGGCGCATTACGGCGCTAATGCCCGTCGTCAATTTTCGTATTCACCAACAAGATCAGATTAGTGAAACTCGACGTGCTTCACGAGGACAGTGAAGCGCCCTAAATTCCGATGCCTGAAATATCCATGCCATCGGAAGTTAACGGTGTTATAGCCCCTAGATACCATATTTATTATTAAATTAATAACAGCAACGAGTGAACGTGAGTGAACCTATTCTTAATAGCTAAAATAACTTTTTTACATTGTAAATTAACATTTTAATATTGCAGATCATACGTATTTATTTTCACAAAAAACTATAATTATTAAAAATATGGCAAATTGTGCAAGTAGGTAAAAAAGAACTTAGAATTTTTGCTTCTCACCGACGAGAAACAGAATATATAAATTTTCTCTAAATTTTTCCCTAATAAATGTTACCTCGTAAAAAACTTTTCTAGTTTTGTGAGCGTGATAAAGATGGTTTTATGAAAGGCGATGGAAAAGAAAAATTTGGTCAATTGCCAGTATATAAAAAATTAATTAAGCAATCTATTTTTCTCGAGGGCCAACCAAGAGATTTACAATAATTAATTTATATTCTCCATCATATTTTTTATTAAACGTATCTCCTGTAAATTAATATTGAAATAGGAAATGTTTTCAAACGTAAATTTGAAAGAAATTTTTGCAACTTACATAAATTATGTATTAAGAAAACTGTAAATTAAATTTACAAATAAAAATATATTGATATGTGATATAGCGTGAATAAATTAACTATACAAATTACCGATATGTTATTTTAAAAAACATAAAAAAACAATAAAAATATGTAAAAAAATTAAATCATCACATTTATCCGTATTTATGTATCTGTAAATACTGTGGAAATCATAAAAAGTCGCTTACAGATATGAAGTAAAATATTAAATATTCGAAATGAAGCAATTAGCGCAGGAAAACTATCGAGTCCTTAAAATGCTGGCACATCCCTAAAAGCATCCACCAAAAACCCCCTAAAAGCAAGGCAGCCATACATCCATAACCACAAGAAGCAAATTGCACGCTAATTAATATGTATATGCACAGCCCCATCGACGAGCCTCCAAGGGATGCAAGAACCCCTAAATAAGCGCAGCGGATAGAGAGGATTTTTTTTCGAGGATGAAAGCGGACACCGAGGAAGCCAATCCAGAGATTGATCGCTCTTAAAAGCATTATCGAGCACCGCGAGGGATGGATGGTTTGCTGAAGGGATCCTGATATGTTCTTCACGTCATGGCAGAGCACGGAGAAGCGCGCTATCCAGACACTTGATACACCACACGTAAACTCTACCACATATATGTATGATATCTCATCATCATTAGCATTATCATTATCATCATAATCATCATTTTAACAATTGTCTGCCAACATGGTTATCTTTACCTTTTTCCGCACCTGTATACGGTCGCCGTATATAAGCACCACTCTGTCCTTGCTCTCGTTCGAGGTAAGTTGGTAGGACAGGCTCTACACGATTTTCAATCGATCGGTCAGCGACATTAACGTCATTATCGATCGCGTTATTCGTCGCCGTAAAATTCGTGCGTTTTGTTATTTTCATGATCGTCGAAGATTTTCATCGACATCGTCATCGTCGTCGTCATCGTCGTCGTTGTCGTTGTCATCGATTTCATCCATCGTGTTCCAAGGACGTTGATGAAGATGGAAAGATGATGAAACAGCGCCAATCGTGGGTCCAAACGGCAGCGTCATGATCGTCGTCGCGTTGTCGTCGTCGTCGTCGTCGTCGACGTCGTGGGGGGTCGGTGATGGCACGGAAATGATGAAATAGAAGAATTTGATTGATTGACGTTGTGGATTTCGCGCGACTGTGTGTGTCTTTGCTTGTGTTGTTTGTGGGTTTTTTTCGGTAATTTTCTTAGTTCGCGCGAACGATCGGCGAGTCGATATAGATATACGTATTATTTTCGCTCTATATACATGATATATGTCTCTCTTATACTGTTTCTCTCTTTCTCTCTCTCTCTCTTTCTCTCTCTTATTCAATTTCTCGCCCGATTATCGCGATTTCTCGCACCGCCGCTTTCCGTCTTTTTCGTTTCTCTCACCCTTCTCTCTGTCGGGGAGAAAAATGTATTTATATACATAAATCTTTTTACCTTCACTGTGATTACTCTAAATTGCATCAGCTTTACGTCGATAAACGAGCGCGCTTCTCAGCTCTCGTTCGTAAAGCTCCGGATTTCTAGCGCGTTACACATATTAACTTTTTGCCGATGCCATGCATCCTCTAATGCATTTCTCGGCTGTTATCGCTCATGCGTTGTGCGACACGGTGAGTGTCGTATTTTTCACTTATTACGTTTTTTTTATTCGCTATTTTTTCTCTGTTCGGTCCGGTTCGGTTTTTACAATGTGTCGTTTACAGTGCGCGAGGGGACTTTTCAGAACGAGGCCTCGACGAGGTAAGTGCCATCCATGGCGACCCCCGTCTGCCCACCCTGGGCCCCGGACACTTGAGCTCTTGTAGCCGGGATGTACTGACTGTACGCCTGCTGAAATCCACAACCACAAGCACACACTACATTGTTGCACGCTAGGTACGCCTACGCTAATGCTTTCTACGGACTCCCCCTAAACTTCCATCTACTCTCGCGATCGATGCATGTGTGTGTGTGTGGATGGATGTGGAAATGAAACTTTAATAGAGATCTACCGCGCGCCCATTGTTCTTTTCTATAACATTATCCCTTGATTGTTACTCGTACCGTGAGCCTTTCGTACGAATAACTTGCAGTATTTCGTAAAAAAAAGAAAAAAAACAGTTAGAGACTCTTTAGCATGTTGAGTTAATTCATGATACAGTTATCGGTATTACACATGATGCCTCCGAGCTGATTATTCTAATTGTTATTTCCTGGTAAAATGGCAGTTTCATTATAGATTTCCTAAGCAAATAATATATTGCAAGTATATCATTGAAAACTTATCTTTACTCGAGAGAGAACACACTCTTGCTCATAACGCATCTTTATATTTAAATAAGAATGGTGAATAATACAGTCGAACCTCGATAACTCGAACCTCTACAACTCAAAAACCTCTGTAAGACGAAAATTTTGTTCATTTCCTTAGGCTTCACTGCGGAGAAAACTTCTATAAATCGAAATAAAACCTACTTTAACTCAAATTATTTGTCAGACATTTAGATGTATTATTTTACCTCTGCAACTCGAATTTAAAGTAGTTAGACCTCTACAAGTCAAAGTTCACCTCTATAAGTCGAACTTTTATTGCGTTGTCTCTATAATTCAAAATTGTAGCTATGTGTAACCATAAGTAATAGCTGGTATTTTATTTTATGATTATATTTATTATATGTATGCAATAAATAATCACTGTCAAATATTGATTTTTTTTTCTTCAAAAGCCATTATAAAAGCCATTATAAGCCATTGGAAAATTATAAACTCTCGTACAAAACCTCCAAATTTTCATATTTTAACCCTCTTTCGCTCGAATTTCGATAAGTCGAAAAATCTCTAACTTGAAGGGTTTTTTTTCGTCTCTTGAGATTCGAGTTATCGAGATTCGACTATATCAGAAAATACATTTTATTCCCACATTTATCGCAATTTCCTAATTAATAATTCCATAATTAGCAATTTCCATTACTGATCCCTAAAAAGTATAAACTTCACTATATTAGCTTATATTATTTCAATAAATCACGATAAATGTATTATAAACTCATTTACATACGTAAGCAGTAATATTTTAATATTTCACGATTCTCTTGTTTTCCTTACTCAACCTTTCGACCCGCACAATGAAATCCGATTTAAACAATTTTCGAAGGAACATATACCGTACTGCCGATCGTAAAAAACCGATGGGCTTCATAGCGTTTCGACTGATCCAATAACCCCGGGAAAGCCTGGAAATTGACGAAGTGACGCGCATACCGCGCGCATCACCGGCAAAAACGAATTAACTCACAAACGTCGATGCGTCACATCCCCTCGCACGCGAGTCAAACAATTCGAATTCGGGCCCGGAATGTATGTGCAAAGATGCTCGACGATCTCGCATTCGGGCGAAACGCGCGCGTTTTCCGCACGGGATCGGCAAAGCGGAAAACTAATGAGCCCCTGCAGGCAATGTGATTTTCGACGCAATTATTTCCCCGTCAAATTGCTGCATCGCGATAACTGGGTGTTCCCAGCGCGAGAAAATACAAGAACGCGCGCATTTTCACATGCTCTCTCGATATTCGAGCGATTTTCGATTGCGAAATTCGAGATTATCTACGGAAAACAGTAAGAGAGATTACTTAATTAATTATTTATGCAAATATAAATCAATACATACATTAATACACAAAGTGCTTTGAAAATAAAAAAAATGTGCACGCATAATACAAGAGACACAAACAATCGTTAGATACATATAAACGTTTGGCTAGAGATGAATCGAGAATTGTACCTTCGACTTTTTACGAACGCGACGACTCTCTGACATCACGTTTTCAAGTCTTCCGTAATTCAAATCTCTCCGTATCTACAACATTCATCTTTCCAGTTGTTATTAATTATTACTTTTTATTGATGTAAGGGAAACCGGGGTTAAAAGTAACATTTTTTCGTTTTCATAAGATAAAAAAAGTCTAATCTATATTTGCTATAGATTTTAAATTCATATACACAAATAAGGAGGAGAGTCAAGAATAATTTCACAGCAATTAAATGTCGTTAATTCAATTTTTAAAAGTGTTATTATCATCATTTGAACCATAAACCGAGACGCGTTGTAACTTTTTATCCCAATGGGGTAAGAAGTAACAACACTTTTTATTTAAACAAAAAATATATAAAACAAAAAATTGTTACTTTCAATACCGACCTCTCCTGTTTGTTCATTATCTCCCATTGATCTCCCAAGTATGCAAGTAGAAATAATTGCCAATAAAGTTCAATATTTACAAATGAGACCCAAATAATACCATTGAGAAATATTTACTTATATGATGCGCAGACACTTTACACACAGCGTGCGCTATGCGAGCAGAGCGCGACACGATTATCATGGCGCTGACGCATCGGCATTAGGCCGACATTTATTTCGTTCAATATTATAGCGTTATCTCTTTTTTTGATAAAGAAGACATAAGTTCTGTTACAACTTATCTCTGTTACTTTTAACCTCAGCCTCCCCTACATATAATATCTTCCTAAACATTGAAAATTATTCCCAAAATAATGCATTTCGAAGATAATTGCTAATGTGCATCGTGACTGTTTTTTCCAAATGCGATTATCTCGCTGGAGCTGACTGAAATCGTGTTTGGAGCACAAACGTCAATTCACATGTATATTTTTCAATGTTTAGGAAGATATTATAACATTATATGTATATCAATAAAAAGTAACGATAACAACTGTGGAAAGATGAATGTTGTAGATACGGAGAGATACTTGAAAATGTGATGTCAGAGAGCCGTCGCGTAAAAAGTCGAAGATACAATTCCCGAGTCATTTTTAACCAAACGTCACCGGCATCAACCGTCAAGAAAAGAGAGATTTCGCGTTTTTTGTAAATCTCGACATTATGAGTTTCGCGTCGCGATAGTTGAGACCGTCGTCAATTTGTGTCATGCAACTTTTCCGTGACGATCGATCGAGACTGTAACGCGTAATGCTTACCGTAGTGCTTACTGACCGATTATCGTACCTGTTGGACGCCAATTAATCAATGCGAATTGACGGTGAAAATCGTAGCTTGGATAGACGGAGCGACGGAGAATCTTTGCAAGTTATTAACGAAGAGGGAAGCGCTCGATTTCCACATCGATTAATCATCCGGCTGGCTGGTAATCGACGCGGCTCGAATCGGGATAACGAATAATACGTAATTAATCTTGCTCACTGTGACGGGATAAGATTTCGGACCGGAAAGAAGCGGTTGATATAGAGTTATAGAGTATGTATGTACATATATACACAATAGTTATATACGCAAGACGATTATACAGAATGTCGCAAAATCCGTGTTAACTGAGCGAGAAAGCGGTGAATTTTGCACCTCCCCCCTCCCCCCCGAGGCTACATAGGAAGTTATCGTTTAAATAAACTGCAGAAAATACAGTGCATCGTGCGAAGAATTCTGAATTTCTAAAATTAATGCGCGTCAATAGTTAAATCCGAAATATTTCTGGCGCATAGAAAATAACGGTACAAGCGCAAAATTTAAACAATTATCATTGTTATAAAAGACAGGGGAAGTTTCTTAAAAATATTTGCAATTTTGCAACGCTTTGCGACGATCTGTATAACTGGCGTGTTATATCTGACATATCTAAAATATAGTTGTAACAAGAAATACTTGAGATAGAAATGGAGCGAAACGTAACGCGCACATAAATGTGACCTTTGACGTTTATGCGAAGTAGTAACAATTCCGCAATTGTGGACATGCAATTACACGGCCAGAGATATTTGATACGATGTATATGTACACGTTAGCGACTGCTCCGCACGACAACGTGAGTAAATTCAGGGCCGTAATCATACATTACGCGCTTACATGTGTTGCATATAAATTAAGTGACATGTAATTGGTACATTGGGGAAGAAATTCGGCACGCTCGGGCGAGTATTTTCAACCGAGTGGATTTAACAACCCGTCATCCCAACGATAATTTCGAGCGCAGCTCCAAATAATAGGATAGTACTTAAATTAATTAATCTCGTGACAGATGCCAATCAAGGCCAACTCATTTTTATTAGACTCAATATAGCTTATAAAATTAACTAATAGTACCAAAGTGATTTACAATAATAACCATTTTATACTTTCTATTTTATAAATATTCATACACTAGTGGAAAATTTGTTTTTTTTTACACATTTTACATGTCCCAAACAATCCATTTAAATTTTTGTGTTAATTTAACATAAAATGAATATGCTAAAAAATAACACAAATATTAAATTAAAAAATTAACACAGAAAATGTAACACAATTTGTAAACTGTGAAAGCATATTCTTTCGATAAAATTAATTAATATTTATAGTATGTTAAATTAACACGTATTTTATTCATTTATGTTAGAATTTACATTTTAAAATACATTAGTTTTATATTATTTGTTCACTTACTCATAATTTGTGTTATTTTGGCACTAAGAAACGTTGAATATTAATTCAACACAAAATATTTAAATAATTTAATCACATTATGTTAAATTAACACTTCATACGTTAAAAATGTTAATAACAAAATTTTAACAAATAATTAATTAAGTGGACCATTTTTAACATAAATGTAAAATGTTTTTTACTGTGTATAAAATTATTAATATATTTTCATTTATAAACATAAATTTTAATTTTTCAAACTTTCAACTTTCAAATTTTAATTGATTTATTTTAAAGCTTTCAATATTTCACAATTTAAATTTTTTATTCTTAAATTGAACAAATTGAAATTTAATTATACCTTTCTATCTATTTAATTAGTCCTTATTATTAATGTCATTCATTTATATCATTTTAT